GGGGCGGGAGCGGCGGCGGCGGGAGGGGGCACCGGGAGGGGAAACGGGGCGGGCGACACCGGGGATGGACCGGGGGATGCTGTGGGGAGCGGGGAGGGGACACCGGGGATGCACCGGGGATGCACCGGGAGATGCCGTGGGGAATTGGGCGGCGACGCGGGGGATGGATTGAGAGGAGAGAGCTGGAGAGAACGGGGGATGGAGGCAGGAATGCACCGTGGGATGGGTTTGGGATGCTCTGGAAAGCGGGAGGTGGGAGACACGGGATGTACCGGGGGAGCACCACGGACTCCGGGGGCTCTGGGAGCACCACGGATGTACCCGGGATTGGGAAGGGGACAAAGGGGTGCAGCAGGGGACAGTGGGGTGATGAGGAACTGGTGACACTTAGGGAGGATGGGATGGCACCCGGCAGGACCTGGACAAGGGTGGGTTGTCCAGGTTTTCCTGTCCAGGTTTTCCTGTCATTTACTCGTGGGAGTAAATGAGGCCAAGGACAGGGTTGGCACATGGATTAGGACAATTCCCAGGAAAAGTGCAGGGTGAGGATGGTGGGATGGAGAACAGCCCAGAGGAGAGGAACGTGGGGAGATGAGAGGCTGGATAGGACCTGCCAAGGTGTGCTGGCAGCCCTGGAAAGCCACCCACGTCCTGGGCTGTGTCACTGGCAGCAGGGACAGCAGGTGAGCGGGGATTGTCCTCCTCTGCCCCACTGGGGTGAAACCCCAGGTGGAGCACCGTGTCCAGCCCTGGGGTCCTTGTCACGGGAAGGACAGGGAGCTGCTGGAGCAGGAGGCCACAGAAATCCTCCAAGGGCGAAGAACAGGCTGAGGGAGAGCTGGGATCGATCAGCCTGGAGAAGAGAAGGCTCCCGCGAGAGTCAGAGCCCTGTCCAGCTCCTACAGGGGCTCCAAGGGAGATGGAGAGGGACTTGGGATGAGGCCATGGAGTGACAGGACAAGGGGAAATGTCTCCGAAGTGGAAAAGAGGAGGTGTGGATTGGATATTGGGAAGAAATTCTTTACAGTGAGGGTGGTGAGGCACTGGGGTGGATTTCCCAGAGAAGCTGCGGCTGCCCCATCCCTGCAAGTGTCCAAGGGCAGGCTGGACAAGGCTTGGAGCAACGTGGGATAGCGGAAGGTGTCTGTGCCCACAGCACAGGGTGGAACTGGATGGGTTTTAAGGCTCATATCAACCCAACCCGCGGTTTCTATGATGATGCAATAAATGACGTCACACCGCGATGACGCAGCGGCACCGGGGGGTGAGGTGGGGGCGGTGGCGGCTCCTCCGCGCACGCGCGCCGCGGCTGGGCGTGCCCAACAAAGAAGGGGCGTGGTCACCCGGAGAGGGGCGTGGTTGGGCGCGGTGGGCGTGGCCAGGCGCGCGCCCGCGCGTCCCCTCCCGGCCGCCGTCGCCCGCTGCCCCCGCGGCCGCAGCATGGCGGGA